AAAATTTATAATATTAAATGCATCTATTTTTTTAATAATATATAAAAATTATATAAAAAAATTATATAGACAGGTTATTCTTATATCATTGCTTGTAATGTTTTGACCTAAATTGAATGAATTTGGTATATGTGACTGCCCAATCAGCACCAAGTTATTAGAATTTAATGAGTAATGCAATGGTTTAATGATTGGATGACATTGTCTTTACTAAAAGGGCTGTTTTGAGGATTTCGTGAGGTAAAGAGGCTGATTTAAACTATAGGGACTGACTTGCCACAACATTGCAAGTACAAGGGCTGTATTGCACCTTCTGCCTTTAGTTTAATTTTTCACTAGGAAAGAAAGACTTGGACAAAGGCGCCGTCCCCAAGTGAGTGTCACCTTCCCTGTCCTCCTTGTGCTTCCAAAACGTCTCTGTTTCTAAGTGTAGCCCTCAACCCTGAAAGCTCACCTCACCCACAGACTCCAGTCATTTCCTATCTTCTGAAGTCTTTAACCCTCAACAGGGTTTCCTTAAAAGCCAAAAGCTTTGCCTCCATTTGAATCGAGTTTCCCTTTTCTGGGTCCGTGATCGTTTGAAATCTTGGAGAAATGGCGGACTGGGCGCCGGTATTGATCGGGGTGCTGCTGTTTGTGCTGTTGTCACCAGGACTTCTGCTCCAGTTCCCGGGAGAGAGCAAGCGCCTGGAGTTCGGGGGCATGGAGACCAACGGCAAGGCCATCGCCGTTCACGCACTATTTTTCTTTGCCATTTATGCTGTTTTAATCCTTGTCGTCCACGTGCACATCTACACTGGCTGAGACTGTTCAAGATCTGTGCAGTGTAAGCGATTGAGCTTCTAATAAGTTGATGTTGTATTGCTTGCTTAATTCGGATTTGAATGTTAATCTTCATTTGTGTGAATGAAATCGTTAGTTTGCTTTGATTTTTCCATTTTGTTTTTTAATTTTACTTTTTTGGATTCTATCTGGGGACCAACCAGTTGACTTGACCATGGTTTAACATTCAATTGCTTTGATTTTCACATTATGTTTATGTAGTAATTTGTAGAGCAAATAAATTTTCTAAGAATTAGAAAATTTTCTGGTTAGGATCAATTAGGTTAGCAAAGGATGTAC